GGACACACAAGCCTTAGCTTTTGTTATGTAAATGTAGCTGGAGTACTTCTGTTCTCCTTATCACTACAAATAGGACAAAAAGCACATTATTAAACAAGGATATTTGCTCTACTGATCTTGGCTGCTGAAATAATATGGCTCAAAACATGCTGGAAGAACATGATGTAAGAAGGAGGAGAAAAAATGTGGCCCCACTTTCAGTCATAGAATCATAGAATGTTTTAGGCTGGAAGGGACCTCTAGAGGTCATCTGGTCCAAACTCCCTACACAAGCAGGGACATCTTTACCTAGGTCAGGTCACCCAGGGCTCTATCAAGCCTGACCCTGAATGACTCCAGGTTTGGGGACTCCACTACCTCTTCTAGGCAGCCCATTCCAATGATCCATCACTCTTATATTAAAGAATTTTTACTGTGCAGCTTTCCAATGGAGGAGGCCTTCTGGCTTATGAGCAACAAAGATTCAAAACTGGGTTCGTATGAAAAAAAGGATATGAAAACTATAAACATAAGCTTTTTCCCCTCAAAATGCTCTGCTCAAAATTTCTATTGGTTTACAACAAACATCAAAAATGAAACAAAACACTAACCTATGTGGCATTATTTTATGGTACAAAAGTTCTAACCATGACCACGTTACATAGTTGATCATTCTACATTTTCACTGCTAGTGGAAACAACATCGGGTGTTGTTGGAAAAAATGGAAAAAGTAAATTTGAAATATATTTATTGCCATGGAAAGAACACAGATTTATGCAAACCTATTTCTAGCATTGGTAAATCCATTTCAATTAAGTAATAAATATCATAGCTATGGTATTAACAGTATTACTAATGATAGATATGACAGTGTCTAATTTTCAGAGGCATATTTATCATAATAGTAGTGCTTACCTAACTCAAAAGGATGTTGTGAGTTTTCATTAATATTTATACCCATTAGTATTTTGGAAATAACAGGCATTACATTATTTTAATTGGAGCCATAAGCAAAAAAAAACTGTTAATTCCACATACCAACCAGACTTGGACACGTAGTAAAAAATAGCAGCAACAACAGTAATAATATGCTGCTTTCTATAAATCATCCTTTTCTCTTCATTCACACTCTAAATACAAAGCCCAGGGTTTGGACTGGGTCTTTCTGAGTTCTCTCAGGTCCAACTGCTCCCAGGAAGATCTATGGCAACAGGCAAGGAGGAAAGAAAGACTAAACACACCACATGAACTACTAAAAAAAAAAATAAAATAGTTGGGCCTGTTCTAATTACAACGGTGATTAATTCTTTGCAGCTTTCAGCATTATAAAAATGCATTCCTTTAACAGGAAATAGGTAATAGCGTCTGTTGTATATCAGCTATAAAAGTCTCTAAGTCCTAGCTGTTGTTCAGAAGACTTAGCAGTTTGGTTGGTATTAATCAACCAGGATTTCCACTGTGTTATTGGTCTTAACTAGCTCAAACACAGTAATGGACTGGTAAATTGGCAATGAAGAACAAAGAGCTTTGAGAAGAATCTTAGCCACTTTATCTCCCCTCTTGCCTTGCAACAACAGCTATTCATAATAAAGGCCATTAAATATTCTCTATTTAATGTCTCAACATGTCACTCAGGAAAATCTCACTTACTTTCCTCTATTTCTTTTATCACCATTACACAAACTCCACTGGTTAACTCTGACTACCACAGAAAGCCACACAAGCCTGTGGGGCTTGGTTCCTCATCATTTTTCTTACCCCATCACTCTCCCAGCTGCAGAAACACTATGGAATTTAAGAGGTGGTTTGTCGCCTGGCTATTTAGGAAATCCCTTTTGGAGAGCACAGAGACCCACAAATTGACCTGACACCACCAGAGACAGCCTTGACCCTATGCATGCTTTCTGCTGAGATGCTGTGGCTGAATCCTGATTTGCCAGTTTATCTGGGGCTACTGAACTCCACAGACAGAGCCCCATACACTTGTGTAAAAATTATCTGAAATCCAAGTTTCTCTATGCGTGTATTTATTCCCAAATGCTTTCTGAAAATTTCACCCTATAAAGAAAGAATATTCTAAAGAGAAAGAAGCCTGGTGCCTTCCTCATGACCTTTCCAGAAAAAGAGCAAATCTTCTGTGTTCAAGGTTAGAGAAGCTCCCTATTAGCACAAGGCTTACCCAGAATATTGCTGCCCAAAAGATTAAACTTCTGTAAATATAAGCACTGCAAAAAAAAAAAAGCATTTAGAATGAAAGCTGACAGCCTGGCTAGCCACAGTGTAACCCACACCAGTCTCACAACTGCCTGCCAAGCTTCCTGGGAGAAATTTTAAGGAACATGCTTTAATTTATCATCCTCTAAGATGATGAAGTGATACAACAGCAAAACACACATTAGTTGCCTCAATATCTTTGCAAAACAGGTGCCTGCCAGTTCAGGGCTGTGTTATTCCAGTGTGGGTGTTAGTACTATTACCCAGACCAACACTGAGCAAAGATGACTCTGTATAAATAAATACAGAAATCATAGAAGAAAGCTATTATTGGCAGGAAATGACTTTGTAGCATTTTTCTTAAAAATATTTCCCTTAATTGGAATGACACTATGCTTTTCTCTTTTTATTATTATTCCTATCTTGTATTAAAAATAGAGGCTGAAGCCATTTATATTAGAATTCAGATACATGATTAATTAATATAATGTGTATTAAGGTATTATACACATATTCTGTAAATACAGAACAATTGTATAGTGTAAAAAAGGGATGAAAACACCTATATTCACAATTAAAAAGCTGTAGGTCACATTTTTGAATGGCAAAAAATGAAGCAGGACTTTCTGAGTCCTATAAAAAGAGAACACAATATAGTTTCACAATACTTTTTTGGAAGTATATATTGAATTAAACTTTAAATAAACCCCCTTTGACAATAAATTTCCAGAAATTTCATTTTGACTTTGCAACAAGGACAACTGCCCAAGGCTTTGCTAATCAATTTCTTGTATTGCAGAAAACAACGTAACTTGAATTTTGTCCAAGTATACAGTTTAAAATGCAGAAAATGTGAAAAGCTAACTGACATGCAAATATTTGTAGCCAGAGTCTGCATACCAAGTGAGAAGAAAGCTGAATAAGTAATTTAACAGTTATTGCAACTTTAATAAACACAGATCCACCCGTCATAGCTTAAGGAAGTAATATTCAAGAGTGAATCTTACAATCTTACTACCCCTCTATTAATACCCTTCTAAAACAAAAAAATCTTTGTAGCCTTTATAAACACAGATCTTAAAGGAAAAAGGAGGGGGTTTATTTCTGTTTGGTTTTCTTTCAGAAGAGTACTATTTCAGGAACTCTTGCCATCATAAGCCTATCTTCCTTTCTATCCCCATCCCACTCATCCTCCTCCATTGCCTACATCAAGCATTCCTCTGCAGGTTGAACACAAGTCTGGGCTGCAAAAGCCCTGTAACTGCTTTTTGCAAATCTGAGTGTGCAGTCCTTTGGGTGAATAAATGTTGAGAGTGAATTTCTTGTTACCGCTTTTTAGGAATGATTTTTTTTCCCCCCTCTCATTATAATTTTTATTACAGAAATTTTTCTCTTGTTCTCAGAGGAACTGAGGAAGCCCTCTCTCCTCAGGGCTCTTCCAGCTTGCACAATCCATCTGAGCAGTGTCAGCACAGGGCTTCCACAGCCAAAGGCCAATCTCCACTAAAAGAACTGAATTTTACAAAACATCTCTGGCACATAAGGCTGGGGCAATTTTAGGCACAGGCTTTGCTTGCTTGAGTGGCTATTAGCCTGTCTTCCCCATATTTAGATTTAACTTAACACTTCCACATTCATCTCCATCTAGAACTCTGCTATGCTTTAGGTAAGTGAAGCTGCACCAGCAGTGATTTCCAAACTAAAAAGTATTTAGGAGTTACCCCTAAAAGTTTCTGATACAGTTTTATTTGACTTTTTTTCTAACACCAGGCATGGTTCTCCTGACTTTTAAACCACTGTGTGTCAGGAATAACGCCAAAGATGACAGCAGAAAAATAAGATAAGCAACAGAGCCACAACCTCTACTACACAAAAGACCAACAAATTTCCTTTGGTTAGCAGCTGTAACTGGATTTGTTTTATGGAAGAAGAATTGCAGGCGCTGGTGAATGAATTATTTTCATTTTGAGGAATTGGTGCAATTCCAGATTATGGAAACAAAATGTATAGGGCTTATAGTTTATCCAAGTAGTACAGCATAGCTATTATTCAAATATTTCAGGTCTTATACCAGCAGAATTTAAAAAGAAAATAAATATTATTCATGCTGAAGGACTGCTTTCCATGCATTTGATTCTTTAGCTATTATTTAAAAATGGCTCATTACAATTTTCTCCTTTGAAGTTTTTTAGAAAATTCACCCTAATCTAAATTTTAGTGGTAACCCAATGGTGATTTCTTACAAATGATTTATACCTAGCTCTCAGAAGAAAAGGATTTATAATGAAAGTGATAGCTCAACTCTAACTGCAGCACTGGGAACGGTGGCACCATAATTAATGTATTATTTCAGTTGTGGGAGACACTGACAGTTGCTTTTTGTTCTGGAGAAGAAATTTATAGTGAGTCTGAAAAGGCACCACAGGAAAAAAAAAAATCACAGAAAAGGAACAGAAATCCTTGTAGCAAAGACATGTCCTTACAATCCCCCTCCAAAAGACCATAAAATCCTGGCAACAACAGTGTTTCCTCTGTGGTGTAATTTATACCTTTCTCCTCTACTAGATGGCAGCATGACACGCTCTCAGAATATCTAAGCAAAGGGTTTTCTTTGTTTTATAGGAAGCAATTAATTTCAAATATCATCTTTTATTTGACAAATTAAAGAAAAAAAAAGAAAAGAAAAAACAAACAAACAAACAACAACAACCAAAAAAAAAAAAAAAAACAAAAAAAAAACAAACCAAAACAAAAAAATCAAGCTTGCCAATGGCTATGTATTTGGAAATCAAATCTGTTTACTTACTGGTTCAACATTAAAAGCAAAAAGTGCATATTCCCGGTCAGGTGATACTTCGTACCGAATAGCCTTTAAGGAGACCTAGAAAATAAACCAAACATTGAAATAAATATTTTTCACTTTTCAAGCCAATGACATCCAGAACCTATTATCGTGACTATCTTTCGAATGATGAAGAATACTGCCAGACTAATGTCTTGAAAAATAATACATCACATCTCTTTTCAAAACCCAGAAATGTTATGTGGGAACTCATATGCTCCCATAAGAGAAAGTATAACTGCATTGTGACTCAGAGCAGGCAGCTATCTCAGAAAGCCAGAATTTTCCTTACAAACTTACTGCACAGTGGCTGGTGGGGCAGCTGTGGGCAGCACGTAGTAGAGAACTCTGATAAATGTAGTATTATTAATTCCCTCTCATTCCCTGCAGTCACTGGCTGAAGTGCAGGAGATTACAAACAGTAAATACCTGCTGGAGCAAATTAGTATAATGAGACAACACTACCTCTCCCAATTAACACAACACTGAAGACAAGCATCTAATTTTCCCCAGTTAAAAAAGTCTTTGGGATGCTCTGGTGATAGAGCTTCTCAGGTGGATGCTGCCTGGGTTCTGCAAAACGCTGAAGTGTATGTCTTAAGAACAAAAAGAGATGCCAAAATATCTCAGACTTGTCAGGAATTACCTTTTCCCTGCTCCACTTATCATTTGCATAGTGCAGGTGTTTCTCCTTTCCAGTGTGTTTCCATAGAATACATTTCTGGCACACATGGCACCAAGGTCAAAGTGAGGTGCCATTAACAAGTCGCTCACCCACTATCTTTTAAAACTCACCTTCTCAGCTAACAAATTAGATATAGGTCCTTGAGAGATTCTCGTGGAGCACAATGGAACGGGGAATTTGGGCTGCAGGGAAATACACAGCATTCCACTGGGAGAGCCATCCCCAAGGCCAGCGAGGCTGGAGGTGGTGCACAGAGAATCCAGGGGACAGCCGACAGCAGCAGGGACTGATCAGAGCATTACAGGATGGTTCCTGTGGGAAGGGACCTTTGAAGGTCACTTAGTCCAACCCCTCTGCAGTGAGCAGGGACATCTTTAACTAGGTGAGGTTGCTCAGAGCCCTGTCCAACCTGACCTTGAATGTTTCCAGGGATGGGGTACCTACCACCTTTCTGGACAACCTAATGAGCTGACAGGCCAGAATGGATCAGGATGGGAGTACCAGGGGACAGTGAGAGCCAGCAGTGTCAGTATGAAAACAGATTTTATTTACTGTTATATTAGTAACATGGAGAAAGAAAAATATGTCAAGGTAGCAAAAGTTTTTCTGACCCATGGCCGTGATGGAAGAGAACAAAGTCAATGTGCCTGGATGAGGTCTAATGGCAGGTCTTGTATTGGGAGTTTTTGGATTATTGTGGAGGTGATGTTCTACAGATTTATTGGGACTTTTTGGATTAATGTGGAGGTGACATTCTGCAAATATATTTACTGACAGAGCAGAGGAGCAAGGGTAGAACAGGCAGCAGGGAGGCCATAGCATGACTAAGTAGGATTATCTTGTAACACTGTTTTTCTTACAAATGGCAAAACTTAAAAACCAGGGGACTAAACAGAGGCCAAATGGAAGCTGTTTGACTTCAATGGATCTTGACATTAAATGAAGCCAGCCTATTCCTTGACCTTCAACAGAACTGTAAAGAAAGAGGTTATGCTCTGGTAAAGGAGGATTGCTTGTGTGATGTAGCAGAGGTTGAAGGTTAAATGGCAGCATGCTGAATTTAAGGTTGGGTCCTGCAGTAATAATTCAGTGATAAATTCTTCGTCTCATTAAAAAAAGAATTAATACTGTACATGAGCTTTTTATGAGTCATATACTGCAAAATAAAATCAACTTGGAACGTGGTTTTATAGTTTTATTGCAGACTTCTAGATTTTGAGTTTCTAAAGATGTTTTCTGCACATCTTGGGTCATTAAGAAAAGTCTCTGCTAGCCATCTTCTGCTTTTGTAGTTTTGTAATGGTACAGTAGAACAAACCCACCTCAATCTAACCAAAACCTTGGGAAAATACTGCCTAAGCTACAATTTTATCAGGATGACATGATTCATATCTCATTGTTGGAGCAAACGTAAGTGTATTTTACCTCGGAAATTAACTTCTTACAGGAAATATTGAAAACACTCTGACATTTAATGTATTAACTTCTGCCACAATTCTGGCTTCATCTACTACAAAAAAACAATGTTATGGAACACTTTTATTATAGTAAATAATACTCTGTGTCAGCTGTGAATTTATTTTCTTTTTATTCATTTTAATAGTCACCTACTAACTTCTTTCCCCAATAATTTCTTAGAGTTTCTTTCAAATGCAACTCCACTTCCATTCATCAACATTATTCATTAGCAAAACTGAAATTACATTTCAGCTATTAGGCAAGAAAAATCAGCAGATTTCAATTAAAAAAATAAGTATTTGCATGAAGGACTGTGGAGAATGCTACCAATAGACAGGAAATTATATCAATTGGCTTCTTTTATTAAGCATGCAAAGCAAAGAATTATGCATCTTTCAATTATATATGATATGCAAGACTAGCTTCAAAGATCTTTTTGATACTTTTCTGTAGTATGAAAGTGAGCTTGCATAATAACAAAAGCTGAAGTTCAATTTCATATACCAGTCATTGCATAGCCCATAGTACTAGTGGTGTATTGCTTCTCCTTGACAATACACAGAGTTGAAACCCAAGTCATTTTCTGCTGTGCTGATCCAAACAGAAGAGAACTGTGAAATTCTGCTACTCATTATAGAAAATACTTACAATTTTTTTGTTTTCTATTAAAATTGTTGAATGGTTAGTTTCAACATTCCTCAGAATTACTGTGCCATTCGGGTTTCTATAAATGAATTCGTTATCTGCAAGGAGGAAAAGAAAAAAACATTAAGGAAATCTGAAATTCTCCATTTGTGTAGAACCTGATTATAGACTTGAACCAAAAGTACCGCTGGGAACTTCCCTCCAAAGAAAACAGATTAATTTTTTTAAATGTAGCCATTGCTGTGATGTTAAGGTGGCTTTCAAGATAGTCACTAAACAACATGGTTAGTGTTTGTCACATGTTTCTTCTGTCACAATTTCCCAGAGCTGAATGCAAGAGGGTGACCTGTTCTGAATGTATGTACACCGCTGGCTGTATTGTTAGTGTAGAAAAAAACAAGATCAAAACACACTCCTTATGCTTAAGGTTTCCAGGATCCTCTGTCTCTGTAGAAGTATAATAAGCCAGATGCCTAGAAAGTCCCTGAAAGCTAAAAGTAAGTCATCCTCTAACACAGCAGATTCTGGGACCTGATATTGTGCACATCTTCCAGCCCTGCCATTTCTCCCGCAAAGTAACACCAGACAGAGATGCATGTGAAGAAATTGCCATTTTCATACAGAACAAGACAAATTAGATTGTTTCTATCACACTTCAGGATTACCCCAGCATTCAGGGCATCTGCACAACGACAAGAATTCCCCATGGTGGCTGCTGCACTGGCAGGAGACAGTCTCCAGTTCTCAAAGCTCAAAATGTACTTAACAGAAAGATGGAAAGATGTATGAAAGAGACTCCAAATGAGGGTTGGGTGGCAGGTCAAAGGCTCAGGATGAAAAAACATTACAACAATAAAGAGCTGTGACTTCGTCAGATGTCATAAACTTAAGTTCAAGTCTGATCAGTGCTTACATGCACGGCCCCACAGGCAAAATATAAAACATAAGTCCCAAGCACAATTCTAATAAAAGATTCAGCAGCTCTTCGTGACACAGGAGTAGTGTTACTGATCTTTTTTTTCCCAGCCTGGCTAAACTAAGATTGAGAACTGATGGTTCCTACCAAACCTCTGCTTCCAGTTCCAGCTAGAGAAACAAGTCTTCAACACCTACCTTCAGTAAGACTACCCCAGTATGACTACCATGGTGCATCCCACAAGTGTTAGGGACATAAGAATGGTTAAACATTATCCATGGATGTTCTTAGATGAGTCAAAGGTGAGTCTGACAGGCTTCATAAAAGCATAGACCCAACTCATTGGAACCACAAACAGATGTGCACTGCTCAGCTCAGGGTAACCTGCTGAAGAAAACACTGGATCCAGAGACCAAGTTCTTTCAAAGCTCTGGTGTACAGATCTACCATCTGCCCTTGTCCATGTTTTGGTCTTCTTTTATTTCCAAGCAGGTGATGACAATCACAGCCATTTACCATCTGTGTAAAATGCTCTGAAAGTGGAGTGAAAAAGCTTCTACACTGTGTTTATTACTATCAATAAAACCACTCATCTCCTACATATCACAGTTTCACATGTAAACATAGGAACTAAAAATCTTTCCTGAGATTGGGATGAATCAGATTCTGTGAGGCCAAACTGTTCCTTCAATATAGATGATCCCCTCCAAACAACTGGAACAGGCTGTGCAGAGAAGTTGTGGATGCCCCAACCCTGGAGGTCCAGGTCAGATGGGGCTTTGAGCAAGCTGGTCTGGTGGAAGGTGTCCCTGCCTACGGCAGGGAGGTTGGAACTAGACATATCTGAGGTCCCTTCCAATGCAAACCATCCTGTGATTCTATGATTTTAGAGACTTAAGATTCTCAGTGTCCAAATCACAACAGCAGCCCTTCACACTCAGGCGAAGTTCTCACAGCATTCCTTTCTTTTAATTATGGAATATATTTTATCAACACCTTCAGTCCTGAATAAAAAATGCACAATTTGAATTAGATTAAGACTTGCATTTGAGATAAGAATAATTAAGAGAATTCCCGTTCGGATTTGACAGTATTAAAATTTTGTCATTAGTTCTGGAATGTAGTCCAAGGGCATGGCATTTTCATAGAGCATACCTGGTTATATTCAGGACATAAAATATTGCTTCACACAATTTATGACTGAACAAAGATTCTTAAACCTGGGAAAGAACTGACTGAACAGAACTGGGGCAGAAGTTAAGAACGTCATAAATGGCATGGAGAAGATAAATAATGAATTCTTGTTTCCTGCATTTTCCAAAATAAATATTACGAGGCACTAAATGACACCAGCCAGTGACAAATTCAATACAAATAAAACGGATTATTTCTTCACGCAGAAGGTAAACAAGCTGTGGAAGTCACAGTCCCAGAGCAGAGTGAGTGCCAGGACTGCATGGGAGTCCAAACAAGAATAGAAAAATGGAAGAAAAATCCATCAAAGATTATGGGTCTTAAGGGAAGACTCTTTTCAGAAAGCCCTTAAACCTGTGATTACAAGGGACTAGAACCATATCCTGAATTATCATCTTGAGCAACTCACCTGCTTTCTAAAATTTTCCCTTGCATTTGCTCTTGGTTCCAAGCCAGACACCAGAAGAGTCAATCTCTGGGGTCTGATCCAGCACTGAATCATTTACAAGTTAAAACTTCCACCTTCTGCATCTAGATCCTTAAGAAATGCCCTTATACCAACACTTTAGGAAATGATACAACAAAAAGCATCAATGCTTCCTACCTACCTTGCCTTTATATCCTTAGGCCATTATGGCTGAAGCATCAGGTGTTATATGAGGAAAGCATACACTCCAAATTCTTATTTTCAGTTATTCCAGAAATAACAGGAATAAATAAACTGAAAGACAGAATATTACCTAATCATCAGACACTTTAAAAAAGATTACTGCTTTAATGATTACCCTATATCAGCAACACAGAATGCTTTCCAATTTCATACTAAGTTCCAGAGAGAAAAATCCCATCTGAAAAGCAGTCAGCAAAGCACTTGGATAACTGTAAGCCTCTCAGGATGCTTCCTAATTACAGAAAGAAAACCCTAGCAATGAAACTCAGCTCAAAGTTCAGTACATAGGTAAAGTAGCTTATTATTCTAATGAGTCTGTGGGGCTGTTAATATTTGGTACCTTCTCCTTGAGCACTGTATGAGCTGATGGAAGTTACATGACTGCCTGTAACGACATTGCTGATGAACTTTTATTGCTCCCTATGCTCCAAAAAACCATGAATTGTTAATAAACTGTAAAACTTCATGTTGATTACATAAAAGTTGCTCCATAGTTAGAAGCAGAAGATGAAAGACTTTCCCATTATTTGTAAAAGTCTAACAAGTTTAAAATCAGGTGCTAATCCCCTGCATGTACTTCTGGTATGAATAAGAAAGAATAAATGACGCAGTGCTGATCTGTTAGGGCTGTATATCTTGCTATTATATTCAATACAAGCCATCAACACAGTGTCTGAATTAAAGGACAGAAAATTGGCCTGCTTAAGAGAAGAACAAATTGATCTGCATTATATCCCAACCAACACACTGTGGGGTTTAGCTGCTTTTTAAGTTGCATTATCTTAGTCCTCAAAAGAATCAATGAAAAATATTCCTGGACTTCTGTTTTGAAGTGTGTGATTTGTTCCAGTGCAAGAGCATTTATTTAAATGGGACATACCTCCATCAAAGACAAAAAGCAATGCAGCAGCCTCTGTCTGTAATGAATTCTGTCCACCGAGCTGATGAGAATTTGCAGCCTGATTTATAGTTGTCACCACAGCTGATAAAGGTCATCACTGCATCTCATTTTTTATACCTGCCTTTCTTTGGGCTGGTGTTCAGTGTAAATGATGCTGAAAATTGTAACTTTCAGGCATAAAGCCATTTATTCCATTTCTTCAACAGCAGAGTTCACTTCACCAACTCCTCCCCCTCTTTCAACTTCCAGGAAATTTGTTGGGTTGATAGAAGACATTACATGTCTGTGAGTGTAGACACAGACAGTCACAAAAGTGACTGATTACAAGAAGCAGTGATTACTAGAAATAACAGAGCCACCTTGGGGCTGTATAGTCAGCGGAGAGGAATGGGGAAGACTTGGCAGAAATTTTTGAAGACCTGCAAAGCAGAATGTGTGAAATCAGAAAACCCAAGACCAATGATGTATTTTCAGAGTCAGTCACCCAACTTCTTTGAATCACAGAATGTCAGGGATTGGAAG